CAGGAGCTCCCTCCGAGCCTCCCACACAGGTGCAGGGGCCCAAGCACTTGGCCATCTTCACTGCTCTCCCAGGCAGCTTTACCCAGCATGCCCCAGCCCCTGCCCCGCTTCCCTCTTTCTTTCCCGTTCTCTTGCTGTCTCCAAGTTGCTTCCTTGAGCCCTTCCTTCCTTAGGGACTGTGTTTAGGGCAGGGCAGGATAGCTCCTGTTACCTGTAGGCTCAGGGTGCCTAGCAAGGGGGGGAGGACCCTCAGGGCTGCTGCTCCCAGAACAGTCTTTCCGTTTCTCCTTGTTATTGTTGGTAGGCGGGGTAACAAAGTGAGATGGGGGGGAGGGGTTGATTGATTGATGCATGGAGATTGCATCTGCTGGTTCACTTCCCAGCTGACCTCGGTCAGCTGATATTCCCTCACTGCTGCCTCCCCGGGTGCCTTAGCAGGAAGCCGGGATCTGAAGCAGAGCTGGGACTCGAACCAAGCAGATGTTGGATGTGGGCATCCCAGGTGGTGGCCTAACTGTTAGGCCAAACACCTGCCCTGGCTGCATTTTTAAGTCACAGCTTCACTGAGAGAAAATGCGTACACCAAACCAGTCAGCCCTTTAACGTGCGAGGTTCTGCAGCCCTCACCACTGATCCTGTCGGCACGAGCAGTTCCAGCACCTCCCTGTCGCCCCAGAGAGAAGCCCCGGCCCACCATTAGCTTCCCTCCTGCCCCTGCCCTCGCTCTGCCCTGCCCCCCTCGTCCTGCTCTGGGCCCGGCTCATCCTCGGCCGGTTCTGCCTGCCGGAAGCTCCCTCTCTCTCTCTGCTCTGACCCCGGTGGGCATCAGCCTGGAAGGGGCACTCTCTCTGGAGCACACAGTCCGTCCCTCTTGGCCACCTCGGGAGAAGGCCAGCTGTGTGGGAGCCCCACGGGGAGACGGAGAAGCACAGCACAGGGTCCCTTTGCTGCGGGGTGGTCTGGTGGGGATGGTGAGATGTGACATCACCCTCAGCTTTGGAGAGAGGTGACCTGGAAGGCCAGCACTGAGGGCTGGGCTGGTGGGAGGAAATGGGCATGGAGTCGGATCTGTGGATGATATTCCAGGCCTCTGTCCTTGCCCGTGCTCTCCTGGGGGGGGGGGGGGGTGCAGGGAGAACAGGCCCCGCTTCCTCTGTGTGCCACCTCTTTCCTGCTTAGGTGCAGGGCAGGTTTCCGGCTTTCTGGTGCCTGCCAGGTGTGCAGCCTCTGCTGGAGAGCCCACTGCAGAGTGCCCCCTCCGTGGGGTTGAGCTGCTGTCATGCGGCAGGAGGGACCCCCCCCCCCCCCGGCCAGACAGGACCGAGGGTCTGACCTGTGCCAGCCGGCAGAGACATGGCCAGGGCCCACTCAGCAGGGAAGCATTCCGCCCTGGAGTGCGGCAGGGCCTGTGGCTCGGAGGTGGGGGGCAGAGGTGGACAGAGTGACCTTTCCTGCAGTGGAGCGGTGCAGGGGGTGAAGGTGGGGCTCAGAGCTGTGGGCCTGGAGGAAGGCTCGCTGCGTCTGGATCGTGCGGCTCGAGGCTGGAGGTGACAAGGCGTCTTGTGGGCCGTGCAGAGGGCCGCAGTTGACCCTGAGGTCCGTGGGCAGGCCCTGGGGCACAGCTAGATGCAGATAAGTGTTCTGGCTGCCCGGGAGACTGGCGGGGTCTGGGCATGGCAGCCAGAGCAGCTGGAGGTGGACTTAATGGCACTTGGCAACAGGGACCTCAGTTCCTCGGGGCAGCTGGGGCCTGAGCTGTGGGGGAGGTGCAGCTATAGGAGGGGTGAGGGGAGCGACTTTTGGGGGGGGCACATCCAAGGTCCCCCTCCGTGTCCCGGGAAGAGGCTGTGGACAGATGTGGGCTGGGCAGCTCTCCCTGCAGGAGGGCTGCCCCTGCTCCCCTTTGCCTGAGGGCGGCGTCTCCCCGAGGAGTAAGCCACAGGGCAGGGTTCCTCGTGACCTGTTGTCCCAGCCCCTGGCACTGGCCGAGACCAGGGGCGGTACAGCGAATGAAGGAGTGGGTGCAGTCACTGCTTGGGTTCACCTGCAGCCCCTAATGGTGCCAAGTGTCCAGCAGGGGCAGCCGGGGACACTGGTGGCCTCCAGGGAGGCTGCACCGCAGTGGGGCCCGGGCCTGATTCAGGAGCATCACTCCCTCATCAGCGAGCCGGTCCTGCACCAGGCCCCTTCTCCCAGACCCTTGTGGCAGGCAGGGGGCTGAGCTGGGCTTTGAGGGAGGAGGGGGCCAAGGTGGGCTGGGAGAGAGGGGAGCGGGTAGGTGGAGGGAGCCTTGTGGATGGTGCCCTTGGCCCAGGCCAGCGCACACCCTGTGTGTCCGCACAGTTCCACTCTTGGTTTTGGCCCTGGAGGGCACTGGGCACTGCAGACCCCCTTGCTTGCCAAGTGGGTTTGGGTCGTTAGACAACCTGTACCAAGTTTTCAGCCTTTGCTTTTGTTTGTTTCAAGATTTATTTATTTGGAAGACGGAGTAAAGGAGAGAGGGAGAGACTGCCCGTCTGCTGGTTCACTCACCAGATGGCCACAGTGGCTGGGGCTGGAGCTCCAGCCGGTCTCCCGCATGGTGCAGGGGCTGCAGGATTCGGGCCTTCCCCCACCGCCTTCCCGGGTGCATTAGCAGGGAGCAGGGTCGGAAGTGGAGCAGCCGGGACTCAGCCGGTGCCCACGTGGGACCCCAGCATCGCAGGCGGCAGCTTAATGCACTGCACCACAGTGCTGGCTTCTGTTTTCTGTTTTTAAGAAAATCTTAGGGTTTTAATTTAAAAGTCGTGTTTCAGTAACTTTTCCAGCAATCTCTGGCCCACCTAAGAATGACCTGCTAGTGCGGATGCCTGGTGAAGCTCTGTCGGTTGGCGTTATGTTAGGTGAAGTAAGCCAGCCCCACACAGACAGTGCTTGGCCTCCCCGACATGTGGAGCGGAAATAGACTCCAGGACAGAATAGGACAGGACTGCCGGAAGGGGGAAGCAGAGGCGATGGCCAGAGGCGGGGCTCCAGCTGCAGGAGATCCCGAGTTTGGGAGACCTGTGTGGCCTGCTGCTGCTGCTGTACCATGTACTAAAATTGCTGATTGGGTAGGTGCTGTGTCAGACGCTCCTGGGGAAGACCAGCAAGGGAGGGCTGGAGGAGACCTGTGGGCGCTACTGAGTGGTCTGTGGTCCTGATGTAATGCTTTCGTGGGTGTGTGCGTCTCCCCTTGCCACTGGGACACAGGCACGGAACAGGGGCTCTTCATGTGCCAGTAGGGCCACTCAAGTGTTTAAGGAGCCGCAGGCAGCAGGCAGAGGTCGTGGCCTCTGCAGAGTGGGGCTTGGAGGCGGGCTTGCTTCTCCCTGGTCGGAGGGTTTCCCCTGATGGAGGTGGGACAGTGGTCCCTGGACGGCGGGACTGCGGGGGCCGACTTCCCGTGCTGATGCTGCGGTTCATTTCAGGCTTGTTTAGGGTTTTTTGTTGTTTTTAATCCCTGTGGTTCATGAGATGCTCTTCTTGGATGCTAAAGGAGAGCCCAGGGGGCTGGTGTCGTGGCACAGCGGGTGAAGCCGCTACCTCCAGTGCCAGCATCCCCGGGGGCTGGTTTGAGTCCCAGCTGCTCCACTTCCAGTCCAGCTCCCTACTAATGACCTGGGAAAACAGTGGAGGATGGCCCAAGTCCTTGGGCCCCTGCATCCACGTGGGAGACCTGGATGGAGCTCCTGGCTTCAGCCTGGCCCAGCCCCCGCCTTTTTGGCCATTTGGGGAGCGACCCAGTGGATGGAAGTTCTCCATCTCTCTCTCTCTCTCTCTCTCTCTCTCTCTAATGCTTTCAAATAAATAAATAAATCGGCCGGCACGCGGCTCATTAGGCTAATCCTCTGCCTGTTGCACCGGCATCCCAGGTTCTAGTCCTGGTTGGGGTGCCGGATTCTGTCCCGGCTGCTCCTCTTCCAGGCCAGCTCTCTGCTGTGGCCAGGGAGTGCAGTGGAGGATGGCCCAGGTCCTTGGGCCCTGCACCCCATGGGAGACCAGGAGAAGCACCTGGTTCCTGGCTTCGGATCGGTGCAGCGCGCCGGCCATAGCGGCCATTTGGGGGGTGAACCAACGGAAAAAGGAAGACCTTTCTCTCTCCCTTTCTCTCTCCCTCTCTCTCTCTCTTTCACTGTCTAACTCTGCCTGTCAAATAAAAATAAAAATTAAAAAATAAATAAGGGCCAGCGCTGCAGCTCAATAGGCTAATCCTCCGCCTTGCGGCACCGGCACATGGGGTTCTAGTCCCGGTCGGGGCGCCGGATTCTGTCCCGGTTGCCCCTCTTCCAGTCCAGCTCTCTGCTGTGGCCAGGGAGTGCAGTGGAGGATGGCCCAAGTGCTTGGGCCCTGCACCCCGTGGGAGACCAGGAGAAGCACCTGGCTCCTGGCTTTGGATCAGTGGGATGCGCCGGCCGCAGCATGCTGGTGGCAGCGGCCATTGGAGGGTGAACCAACGGCAAAGGAAGACCTTTCTCTCTGTCTCTCTCTCTCACTGTCCACTCTGCCTGTAAAAAAAATTTTTTTAAATAAAAATAAATAAATAAGTAAATTTTTTTTTAACAAAAATGAGAGCCCAGGAGGAGAGGCCCCGTGGAGACCATTCTCCATCGCCCGGCCTGTGTACTCCCTGCCCAGAGTGAGGGAGCGAGCCATGCCAGGATGGTGCCTGGAGGCTGCCCTCTGCCTGGAGCCTGGGCCCCTGTGCTCACGCCTCCCCCACGCCCTGGTGCCTGCTGCTCAGGAGGTGGAGGTTGTGTGGCTTCATGGCACGCTGCAGGGCAAGTGCCCTCTCGTGCTCTGCTGCGAGCCCCCACGGCGGCATCTCCCTGCTCCGGCCCTGCCCCTGCTGCTCCCGGGACCCTGTTTCTCTGGTGGCTTGGCCTCGGCAAGCTCCGCTCTGCTGGTCTGGGAGGCGGCAGAGGCCGCAGAGGGGCCGTGCGGGCGCTGAAGCTGACGATGCATTTCCCTTTCCTTCCCAGTGTGCAAGGAGCCCCCGTACAAGGTGGAGGAGTCGGGGTACGCTGGCTTCATCATGCCCATCGAGGTGCACTTCAGAAACAAGGTAGGCGCCTGCAGCGGCAGCGGCCACCACGCGGCGCTGAGGGGGAGAGCTGCCCGGGGTGCGGGGGTTGGGGGTGATTCCCGGGGAAACAGGTGGGCCCATGGCAGCCGGTGGGAGTGCATGGGTGCAGCTCCCCTGGGGAAGCGACCGGCCACATCCTGCCCAGGTCAGCGGCCCGCGGAATGTGTCACAGCAGTGCCCGCTGTGGGGCAGGCTGAGCTGGTCCCCGTGGCCCGCTGCTGCTTCTGCGTGGGAGGAGCTCTGAGTAGGGCTGAGGGGGAGGCAGGTGTGCACGAGAGGCGTCTGGGGAGAGCGGTCACGTGGGGACTTCAGCCGGTCTTGGGAGAGCAGAATCACGGGATAGGTGCATTTCGGTGCAGAGCTTTTCACCTGCACGTGTCGTTTCTCCGTGCACACTTTGAAGACTCCCTGTGTGCGGGGACTCCAGAAATTTTCACACCAGTGTGAACCTGGCTTTCACACCAGTGTGAACCTGGCTTTTAATCACATTTCCACGAACTCTCCAAAGTGCCCTCATATGCGTCAATGTTAATCAACTGATATTAGTTATTGTGTATTATATTAATTATATATTAATGAGGGTACTCTGGGTGAGGTTACGGTCAGGGGTTGTGACCATCCATCTCCAGCATCTAAGCTTTTTTTAAATTCCCCTACTAATTGAAACGGGAAAATCGCCTGCCTCTTCGCGCTCTCACGGGCGCCACCATGGGGCCGGTGGTGGCATTTCCCGGCTCAGGCTGGCGTGGCTGCAAGCGTGGCCTTCAGGAAGGAGGTCTTGCTGGGTGGCCTGCGGGTGCGCCCTGCTCCTTGTAGCGGTTCCGGGTCTGTGCCCTGGCCCGCCGGAGATGCGTGGCAGGTGCGCCCGCGTTCTGCACTCTGCGGCCGGCACTCGGGCTGCCTCCCGGGAACCAGTGCGTTTCAACCCGTGTGACTCAGCTAGCTCTCAAGGGAAAGGCCTCCCCGCGTGGGCTGAGTGGGGTTCACCAAAACCGGGCTCCTCCTGAGGGGTGTGTGGGATGGGGTCCCCCCGTGCACGGGGTGACCAGTCGCCATCCGGAGCAGGTGCCTGACTCGGATGTGCGGGGCGAGGCCCGGGGCAGGCGTGCCTCTCAGCAGCCTCCAGTGAGTGTGAAGGGAGGCCAGCAGGTGCGCATCTCAGGGGCCGCTGAGTCCAGCTGTGGAACCTGCTCGGCGGCCCTGGGCGGGGGTGTTGGGTGGGCGGGGGTGGGCGCTTCAGGCTCACTCTGGGCGGGCTGTGAGACTCGGGAGCAGGTCAGGCTCCAGGGCCGCCGAGGCTTGCGTGTCTGGCCCCTGACACACTGACCTTCCCCTCCCTGCACACACAGGCACCGGCGTCTGCTGCTCTGCCCGCTGCCCCCCAGCGCCCGCCCAGGGGCAGGGCCACTTACGCACGCGCGCTGATGTCTGAGCTGTTCTGGCTGTAGAATCCTTGCTGGCCGGAGAAGATTTCTTTTTCTTTTGATATCTGTTCATTTTATTAGAAAGGCAGAGTTACAGAGAGGCAGATCCTTTTGCTGGTTCACTCCCCAAGTGGCCACACAGCAAAGCAGGAGCCAGAAACTCCATCCGGGTCTCCTACGTGGGTGGCAGGGACCCAGCCACTGGGGCCCGCACCTGCCGCCTCCCAGGTGCATTAGAGAGCTGGATCAGAGGTGGAGAGCTGAGACCAGAACCAGGGTCCATATGGGATGGCAGCACTGCGTGTGGCCGCTTTACCCACGATGCCACAGCACCGGCCCTGAAAGGATGTCTCGAGGGTCGAGGGGGCGTTTGGCCCGGTGTTTCGCTTTTCGGTGTCCCACACTGGAATAAACTGTGCTTGACTTCAGCTCTGGCTGCTGCGTCGGTCCAGCTTCCTGCCGCTGTGCACCTGTGCAGCAGCAGCCGGTTCAAGTCTTTGGGTCCCTGCTACTCACGCGCAAGAAGACCTGTGGACTTCCAGGCTCCTGGCTTTGGCCTTCGATGACCCTGGCTGTTGCAGGCATTGGGAGTGAGCCAGTGGATGGAAGATGTCTCTCTGTCTCCATCTCTGTGTCTCTCTCCCTTTTCAAATAAAAAATTAGAAAAATAAAAAAGCGAGAAAAAAGGCCAGGTTCCTTGGGGTTTGTTTATTATCAGAGCAGTTCCTGCAGGGGCCACACATCTGGGACTGGCTTCTGCCCTGGGTCTGCTCTCGGAACGGCCGCGTCGCCTCTCGTGGGTCTGCTCTCGGAACGGCCGCGTCGTCTCTCGTGGGTCTGCTCTCGGAGTGGCCGCGTCGCCTCTCGTGGCTCTGCTCTCGGAATGGCCGCGTCGTCTCTCGTGGGTGTGCTCTCGGAATGGCCGCGTCGCCTCTCGTGGGTCTGCTCTCGGAGTGGCCGCGTCGTCTCTCGTGGGTGTGCTCTCGGAATGGCCGCGTCGCCTCTCGTGGGTCTGCTCTCGGAGTGGCCGCGTCGTCTCTCGTGGGTCTGCTCTCAAATGGCCGCGTCGCCTCTCGTGGGTGTGCTCTCGGAGTGGCCACGTCGCCTCTTGTGGGTGTGCTCTCGGAATGGCCGCGTCGCCTCTCGTGGGTCTGCTCTCGGAATGGCCGCATCGTCTCTCGTGGGTCTGCTCTCGGAGTGGCCACGTCGCCTCTCGTGGGTCTGCTCTCGGAATGGCCGCGTCGCCTCTCGTGGCTCTGCACTCGGAATGGCCGCGTCGTCTCTCGTGGGTCTGCTCTCGGAGTGGCCGCGTCGTCTCTCGTGGGTCTGCTCTCGGAGTGGCCGCATCGCCTCTCGTGGGTGTGCTCTCGGAGTGGCCGCGTCGTCTCTCGTGGCTCTGCTCTCAAATGGCCGCGTCGCCTCTCGTGGGTCTGCTCTTGGAGTGGCCACGTCGCCTCTTGTGGGTGTGCTCTCGGAATGGCCGCGTCGCCTCTCGTGGGTCTGCTCTCGGAATGGCCGCATCGTCTCTCGTGGGTCTGCTCTCGGAGTGGCCGCGTTGTCTCTCGTGGGTCTGCTCTCGGAGTGGCCGCGTCGTCTCTTGTGGGTCTGCTCTCGGCATGGCCGCGTCGTCTCTCGTGGGTCTGCTCTCGGAGTGGCCGCGTTGCCTCTCGTGGGTCTGCTCTCGGAGTGGCCGCGTTGCCTCTCGTGGGTCTGCTCTCGGAGTGGCTGCGTTGTCTCTCGTGGCTCTGCTCTCGGAGTGGCCGCGTTGCCTCTCGTGGGTCTGCTCTCGGAGTGGCCGCGTTGTCTCTCGTGGCTCTGCTCTCGGAGTGGCCGCGTTGCCTCTCGTGGGTCTGCTCTCGGAATGGCCGCGTCGTCTCTTGTGGGTCTGCTCTCGGCATGGCCGCGTCGTCTCTCGTGGGTCTGCTCTCGGAGTGGCCGCGTCGTCTCTCCCCGCACAGAGGCTCTGCATGCAGCTCACTGGGCGCTGTTGTCCATGCTGCTCGTTTGGCCCACGGAGCTCTAGGGAAGCAGCGAGCTGAGCCCCGCACACAGCCTGGAGGAAGGCGGTCACCCCGCTCTGGGTGCCCGGTCACCCGGGGTCGCGCAGTTGGTGGCGCCGTTTGTGGTTTCTGCTCACATCAGTGATTTCCTGGATGGTGCTTAGCCAGTGTTGTCGGAGAACGAGTTGGCTGCTTCAGAAGCTCTGTAAGGACCGGGCGGTCCTGGGACGGTGAGCGCCAGGAAACGCACGCACTTCCTTGGGGCTGGAGTTCTGAGAAACAGGCTCGCCGCGAGCCGGCTGTCTGGCGACTGTCTGCCCTTTCTCGACCTCGGCTGGGAACGTGCGCGCTGGGCGGCTCTCGTGCCTGCCGTTCTGTGCGTGTCTGGGAATGACTCAGGCCTGGAGCCGAGAAGGCTGAGGGGGGCGGACAGTGAGGGTCAGCTGGACACGGTTCGTCTGCTGTTTGGGGCCGGGCCCACTGGCCTGCTGCTGTCCGTCGTGTGGCTGGGAACAGTGTGTAGATGCACTGCTCTTGGGGGTTTGCACCTGCGGTGGGATCGCCGGCTCGCGTGGTGGTTTTCTGTTTCACTTTCCGCGTGGCTGCCCAGCTGTTCGAGTGTGGCGCCCACTTTCCACAGCCCCCCGGGTGCACGTGGGCCCACGTTTCTGCGTGTCCTCCGCTGGGCTGCTCCTCTGGTTTTCGGGGTCACAGCCATCGCCATCCTGCTGGGGGGTGCAGCGTCCCTGGAGGTTTTATTTGCGTTTGTTTAGGACCCAGGGTGTTCAGCCCCTTTTCCCGAGCTTGGTGCTGTCCCTCTTTAGAGAACTTTCTAGATAGTCCCTTGCCTGTGTCGGGAGCCGGCGTTGGTCTTCTCACTGTTGTGCTGTAGGAGTTCTTTTCATATTCTGGATATGAAACTCACAGTTGCGAGATTTGCACGAGTCCTTCTATTACAAAGCTTGTTTTTCCCTCCATAGTTGTCTTTTTAAAAATATGTATTTATTGGTGTTGGCGCTGTGGCATAGCGGGTAAAGCCACTGCCTGCAGTGCTGGCATCCTATATGGGCACCAGCTTGAGTCCCGGCTGCTCCACTTCCGATCCAGCTCTCTGCTATGGCCTGGGAAAGCAGTAGAGGATGGCCCAAGTCCTTGGGCCCCTGCACCCACGTGGGAGACAGGAAGAAGCTCCTGGCTTCAGATCGGTGCAGCTCTGGCCGTTGTGGCCGTCTGGGGAGTGAATCGGCAGATGGAAGACCTCTCTGCTTCTCCTCTTTCTGTGTAACTCTGACTTTCAAACAAACAAATAACTCTTTAAGAACATTTATTTATTTTTTTATTATTTGAAGGATACAGTGATAGACATTCCAGAGATTCCATCTATCTGCCCGTTCCCTCCCCAAATGCCTGCAGCAGCCAGAGCTGGGCCAGGCTGAGCCAGGAGCTCCGTCCAGGTCTCCCGTGTGGGTGCAGGGACCTCAGCGCTTAGGCCGTCACTGCTGCCTCCTGGCACAGTAGGGAGCTGACTCAGAAGCAAAGTAGCTGGGACTCAAAC